CTCAGAGCCAGGCATTGTTTTTCGTTAATTAGCATAAGCTCAATGGTTTTTTCGTAATTTGCCCTACATTTTATTTAGCTACCAGCCCCCCCTAAACCTAAACAGTGAGTTCAACGAGTTAGTTAGTCATTGACTTTCCATTACGGTATATGCTAATATAATATTAAAGATTCTAAGAATTTATTTTCTTTACGGTCAGAGCAACCAAAAAGGTGACGAACACAAAAGATATTTATTGATTATTTTTTGAGATCTACATTTAGAGTGAATTATTAATAAAATAAAAAATCCAGTGTTGTGTTGAATTTTCTGAAAACTCTTGTTATTAATATTAGCAAAAATCTCTATATATGATCCGATTTGTTTTTGCATATAAGTAATGGCCTAAATGATGAGCTTTTAGGGGTTAGTTTGTTAACAAAATTTGAATGTGTTTTAATTAATAAAAATAATATTAGTAACAATTAGAGTGACAAATGATATAAGCTCGTACATTTATTGTAAATACTTAAAATTATTTCATTCCAATTTTTGAAATTTCGATTTTTTTTTATTTTATTATGAAACGGGATTGGAGTATTAGTTTTTCAGTTCCAAAAAAATGATTTTTTGCAATATTGTTAATCTATGTCCGATTTCCGATCCACGCTTATTAGTGAAAGTATTTGATTAACGTGCAGCTTGTGGAGCGAGTGGGGCATTATACGGGCTGATATCGTGCTTTGCGGGATGCGCGTGCATATACTCTTGCTTCTACCGATCAAGAATGAGAAGCCAATACATGCTAGCGGAGGAACCTTGTCCCGATTTGCTTCTACACCTTTGTTGCGAGTCCTGCGCTTTGTGCCAAGAGTATCGTGAGCTCCAACATCGTGGCTTTGACATGAATCTTGGTAATTATTCTTCAATCTTTCGGCTATTATTTTATTTTAATGTTACATTAATTCGATCTAACCTCATTAATTTAATTTTAATTTTTTTAGGATGGTATGGAAATGTTGACAAACTAAATCAAGGATTGACAATGGCACCATTTGTTGAAGGAGGGATGAATAGATAAGTTGTCTTATTTGGATTCCGTTTGTTGTCTTGTTTGGATGTATTTTTCGTTTTATTCAATAATTGTATGTGTGGTCGAAAGAGTGTTTATGAAGGAAGATGGGTGCAATTTTTTTTTTCTTTTGTTTCATAAACAGATCATAGGACATGTAACGTCATTTTCATTTTATTGTATTTTATTTTATTTTATTTTATTGTAACGTGGTTTGAGTGCGATCTGTGATAATATAGTGGATGTAATAAGGTCAAGTTTTTATTGTGGAATTCAATTCATAATAATAATGTATGTCATCTAAGATTATAATATTGGAAGTCTATGTTTAATGTTCATGTATTTTTGTTTATTTATTATCATCTATAAAGCATCTTTGAAGCTTCGGTCTTGTATTTCTTTATTTATTTAAAAGACTACACGATTTTATGCTATTTGCGAAAGGTCCTTTTAGTGAGTTTATTTGGAAAGTTTAGAATTAGTATTCCACAGAAAAACTTAGTTATATAGTTTAGTTATGTAATTACGTTCAGTGGCCATCTCGAATACTTACTTATTTGCAATCATCTCTCTCCCTCAAATTATGTAGCTAAACAAAGTGAACCAATCAAATACATAGATCTGATTTTCCATACGACTATTGTGTGCAGGGGCGTACCCACGCCTAAGGCTGGGGTGGCCCCCGCCCCCCCAAGAATTTTTTTTTAAGCTGTTTGTTTTTTTTTTTTTTTTTTTTTTTGGGGATTTATGTATTAGTTTATACACTTTCGCCCCCCCAAACTTTTAATTTTGTACATTTTAGTCCCTAAAAAAAAAAAAAAAAATTCTCTCTTAATTTACCCCTATATTTCCGCCCCCCCAAAAAAACACCCCTGGGTCCCCCCCTGATTGGGGGGGAATGGGATTATGTATGTGTGTGTGTGAAAAAAAAAGTGGGCGTGTGCGTGCATCACTCTTTGTGGTGTGTGTGCGTGCATGTGCGTCAGTATATGGGTGTGCGCGTGTGTGTGGAAGAGTTTCGGTGGTGGGGAGTGAGAGTGGAGCAGATCTGAATGGTTGCAACAAAGATGGATGGAGTGGTGCAAAAGAAAACATAGATAAAAGAATTTTTGCAAGTTGTGAAAATTTTAATATCCTGATTTGAAAGAGTATTAATATACAAAAGTGTTTAGCAAATTGCCCCTTAAAATAAATTGCTCATAAATTTTATAGGGTTCATATGCAAGTACCATCTACATCCATAAAAACCAACAAATAGACAAGTCCGACGGGTCCAAATCCGCAAGGCCACAGTCTACAAATATAGGATGCGGTCCCGGCCCGCCTATAGGGAGGATTGCTCATAGGTTTGAGAGTCGTCGAGTTTGCTACTTCCAAACTAAATCTGCTTATTTTTAATTTTATTGGTAGAATAATAATTGAAAGTACTGGAGTTTAGTTTTAAAAAATATCTTCAAACCTAGACCAGACGATCGGTCATTCAGTTGGACCGTGAAGCCTTGTCCGGTCCGATTTGTACTATAAACAGTAGATTGCAACGAAATGGTTTATTATGAAAAAAATAGGGGTTTTAACCAGTTAGACCGTAAAACTGAAATCTCATTGAATATTGGGTGTTTGTCCAAAACGGTGTATCTTGTTTTAGTTAAAAATAAAACTATTAGAACTCAAGTAATCATTTATTGTTGGACGAAGAATCGTAGTTTACTGATTGAAGAAGATGAAGTGAAATTTTTTTATCTCAAAACACACGTGAAGACGGCCTTTTATACTCTAACTACCATCTAACTAACATTTTACTATTCGCGGCCTATATTTACATTATGCAGTTTCATATAAAAAACATTTTACGAATGAGTTTATGCTTTTATTTTAACATGCTCTTTATATTAAACTGCATAATGTAAATATAGACTACAAATAATAATAACTCCTTTGAAACTTTTTAGGCATGACACATTGAGAGGCAGAAGAATAGAGTTGCACATAGAATGATTCGACTTTCTTTAGAGGATCCATGTATTTTAAGGAATTTGCCTCATTTGATTCAGAATATAGTACTGATGAAGGGCCTTCCTTAAATAAAAGATTTAGGTGTTCTAAAACAAACTAGTTTTTTTAGAAAGTCAACTATTTTTTGGCCAAGCCATTTGATATAGTCTAATGATATGGAAAAAAAATACAACACACTGCCTGCAAAATGTATTTGACCCAATTTATTATTAAATTTTTTTAGAATTCTTAGGTTCAAATAGACCTCAAAAAGAAGCCATGCAGCATATTGCCAATGTCTCCCTTTTTTCTCTTATTTTAAGGAAAAAAAAAAAAAAAAAAAAAAGAAAAAGGACTACAGAAACAGTTATCTAACATGAAATAATTAACTCCACCTTCTAATGTACCTCTACAACTAATATTGAGCAATAGCTAAAAAAAAGAGAAAAAGTTATCCTAAAAAAATGCACAAAGCATATCAAAAGATTATATCTTCAAAAAATAATTACACTAATCAATTAAAATTTAAAATCATCAAAGGGTTCTGTTTGTACAATTCAATGAATCAGCTGTTCTCACTTATCAGCTAAACTAAACTTACTCTTACATCTCAAAAGGCCGCGGCGCCCACCCATACGGCTATACTCTCCTCGAACGAATTTCACAAAATTGGGTGCGGTGCGCTCAACTCGTAAATGCACAACAAAACAAAATATTTCTAGTCGATTATTCATTTCGACACACTTTCATCACCAAGAAAGCTAATATCTTACAAAAATACACCACTCCAGAGTAAAAGACCAAATAGTACATAATGTAAATCTTCAAGGTGCGAAAATCCGGAACCACAGCCAGATACCGTTGAGTTCGTTGATGGAGCAAGAGATGTGCTATTTGTAAAGGTGCCGTTTCTTCCACCACTACAATGCCCAAAACAACTCGTTAAGCAAAAAACCAACACTACGCAAGACTAATATTTTTCTTCCCACAATTTTCACATAAACAAATTCACGTTTGTTAAACTTTTCCAAAAAAAAAACTACCCAAAACAATTTCAAAAAAGGTTCCTAAATTATTCTTCTAACATACCCTTTTCCGAGACATTTAGACATGAAATATTGAACTTGAATTTGTTGATTAACGAAAAATGAAAAACGTGAGCTATTTAAATCTCTAACTAACTATAACTACTTTCTTATCTTTGCAGTCTATATTTTACTAATACAGAAACTTAAATACTTTCTAAGACACATTTTACAG